AAAGCATGCTAACTAGGAGAGTAGATAGGGATCTGCCTGCACTCAGCACTATACTAAGAGCGTTCGAATAATTAGGAATACATTTTTCATATTTTTTTCTTCTTCATTTTTCTATTCAAACCACGGATGGGATATCGAATATTGATATAGTCATCTTTTCAATATCATCACATTATATTGGCCTATAACTATCGAGATACCATTAAAACATCAGACATAAACATTTTTTGAAATATGAATATCATATTTATACTAATGAATCAATATTTATATTGATACTCGAGCACGTAGGCGCATCAATAAATAATTTATTTTCCTCTTTAAGTTATTTAATGAAAATATCGATTATTCTACCCTCTTTAGCAAAATTAAGGAGTTCCTGATTTCTAGTTCTTTTCCTTACTGGTGTAAAAAGTGGCGAATCCAAGTAAATGAATCCAAATATATCACTTTTACCCTTCGACGCAATTCCTGTCCACCAGTCTACTTCAACTCCATACCACTTCCTCTGTCCGACACAGTCTGGTATCTTGGCTTCATTCTAGACAAAAGACTAACATGGGAACCCAGATACCAGACTTAAAAGACAACAACTTAACAGTCGATACGGACAACTATATAGACTATTTAATAGAAAATCTCAACTTTCAGTCGACAACAAACTACTGATCTACAAGACAATCCTGAAACCTTTTTGGACCTACGGAATAGAACTGTGGGGGGCAGCAAAAATTTCTAACATCAAACGCATTCAATCCTTCCAGTCTAAAGTCCTCCGATCAATAGTCAATGCCCCCTTCTATATATCCAATAAAACTCTCCATAATCACCTTCATATCCCATTTGTTCTTGACCTAATTCCAGATAAATTTTCCAAATTTCACCAGAACCTCACTCATCAACCAAATCCTGTAGCATAATCCCTATCTAGCTCCAGCCATCCCAACAATCCTCCCCGGAGGTTAAAACAGCAGTGGCCCCGCGACCTTCTGTAAATGTTCATATATTGGAGATCTGGCAATGGCGTCTGTTGTTGTAGTGCCCTCCATCAGTTTCCACTGGTTTCAAGTAACAGTGACGTGGCTGAGAAAGAAGCACTGTGACTCCTGGAGTCCTGCCTTGGCTTCCACATCGGGGGATAAAGCATGACTCAGATTCCCCAGGGTGAATGTAAATATTGTACATATGTGTGAATGTGTTTTATTTACTTTAATTTCATTTAGCTTTTATCTATTATTTCATTTTCTTGTACGCATGTATATCAATTCACTTATTTCACTATATTTCTTTTTCTTTATTATCGAAATCTTAGTTATTATTTGTATGTACATATTGTGTGAATGATTAATGTAGCCTTAATATTAATGCCCTTTAATGTGGCAGAATGTATTATTATTCAATAAAAAAAAAAAAAAGGTCCTGTCCAACTTCATCATTTTTCATTATTTTTCCAGAAATTTACATTCAACTAATTATGCCTTCCATTCATCCACACGTCGGATTCAGCGAAATACTGAAATACTATCTTATATTATAAATTATGTTCTATTTATTTGCATCCTACATAGATTTCTTTGACAATTCGTGGCTTTGGTTTGAGAAGGTTCTAACTGACGAATTTGAGCAAATTGAGTTTACTGACTGAGAAAATATGGTAAAATATTGAATATTGGAAGGAAAATGTCGATATTTCGATAATATCGACTAAATATGATCATCCCTAATTCAAACATGTCTCTAACGAAAGTGAAGCAATGTACTGACAATCACTAACAATTCAGGCATAGGATAATACTCAGCAGCAGCTATCCCCGGTCTTTATTAAGTCCCTTGAATCACGAATGCTTCTAAGAGATATACCAGCCCCAGAAATTTTATTTCGTTCCATATTCAAAATTTCACAAAGCTATAGTAGCATAAATTATGACCTGGGACTTGAGTTTTCACTCAGAAATCACTCAGGACAAAGTTATCCAAGTCCCAAATGAATTTTAGTGCCATCAGTTAAAAAATGTAGAAACAGATAGTGTGACATAGTTGTAACTAATGATAATTTGTTTTGAGAAGGTTTTAACTGTAATACACTACGTAGTAGTTGATTTATAGTTATTTCAATGAGAGTTAAACATTATATTATATCATTTATATAATTAGTAAAAAATCGTTCCATGTGTATAACACATTTGAAGCGGTTATTTCAGAAACGACATAAGTGATATTTTCAAATTTTACATAATTCATGTTGGTTTTAGCAATGTGCATATCATTAGATAAATTGTTATTTTTTAAAATTTCTACTCTGTTGTTTTGGTGAAAAAACATATTTCTTTTATTTGAACTGCATGCACAATGATTAAAATTAGAATATTGCTTTTGAAATAAATGGAATTTATTCCAATTATTACAAAACCAAAGTATGGGTACAAGTTCTCAGCTTTTGAGAAATATCAATAATTAAAAATCTAATGAGCCATATTATCATAGCTTGTTTATAAGGTCATCATAGTTTTATAGACTATTATAAATTGACTTTAAGATTTTAAATGGTCAAGTTAGATATAAGTTAAAAGTAAGTTCTCAAATTGTAGATAGAGAAATACTTTATTGAATGTAGTGTTGCCCTACGACATAGGGTTGCTTTACACACAGCATAACGATCGATCCATTTGGACATAATTTATACATTACATTATTCTATTACTAAACATATATATATATATATATATATATATATATATATATATATATATATATATATATATATATATATATATCTTTCCTTCTTTTCCTTCCTCATTATAATAATAGTCTTAATAATAATAATAATAAAAGCCTTAGCGAACCCGAAGGTTCGATGCCGACACCACCAATCGCTTATTACACACCTCCCTCCACCGTTCGCCGTCCAAACCCAGTCCCTTCAGATCGGATTTAATGCAATCTTCCCACCTTCGCTTCGGTCTACCCCTCGGACGCTTACCATTCGGCACAGCAAATATTAACCTTTTAGGAATTCTCTCGTTACTAAGCCCAACAACTTTACACGCCCATTTGATTCGCCGCGATTAAATTACCTCAATTATATTACCCGGATACAGCTCACGCAATTCGTCGTTGTGTAACCGTCTGAACTCTCCGGTTAACTCAATAATAATAGTCTTACAAAATATAAACTAATAACTACACCAAGTCCAATAAACTACACTCAGCCATCAACATTGCATAACATTCATATAAAAAAAAAAAAATTGAATGCGAAGAATCAAACACTAAATCGCAGACACATCAGCTCCTATTAACTACCGGACAACTTGAGAGATTTTTTTCTTGAGAACTATACTCACTAGTGTATTCTTGAAATGATTTTATTGGTGGTAAAAAGGGTATATACCAACTAAACTATAAAGACCTGTAAATGAGAATTAATGACCATTGTGTCTTTTTGTTTCTTTAACGGTAATACTTTTGAAAGAGATTTATGTTAGAGATCGACCTTAGCGCACACCCCTTCACTGTAAGAACTTTGAGATATTTATCATATTTAACATCAACATTCACTAACTATTAACTAGACATATATGTCTCTGTAAAAGACCATTTGCATATTGTAATTTAATCTGAAAGCTGTTAATGTATAAACAAAGAAAGATAAACAAATATTACAACAATTAATAATTATTCAATAATAATATTGCAACTCTCAAATAGTTAGTACTCATTCCAATTTAAACTCTACTAATTACAAAAAAAAAATTGTGTCCTTGTTTCTAATAATCAATAAATAATATACTAATCTTCACAACAAATTAATAAGGTAACTATTTTTACTATTTCAGTACATTCAAAGTTACTATTACTTGGAAGAATTTTACTAAAGCAAGTAGAAGTAGTATTTGTATACATATGCTATAGCTTGGGTCAATTATTGCATTCTCTTCAAAAACCACTTCATTCAATATATATGTTTTTTTAACTTCACTGAGAAATTAAGGATTAAACAGAAGGCATTGTTAATACTGTATGTTCCCGTGTTTGGGGGGGAAATTAATTGAGGATGCCAGTGGTTAATTATTGAGGATAATTACCCAGAAATATTTAATAAAAATTAATAATAAAAAATTAGTTAAACAAATTGAAATCTATAATATATTGATTGGGCCAGGATTTTTTTTCTTTACCATTTATAAAGCCTAAACAAAATTTAATGCAATATATATTTTTTTTCAGATTGAGTGAGATTTCCTGAATTAGACTTACATTACTCAAAACATCATAAATTTCGGTTCAAGAATAATTATCTACAAATTACCAAAACATAATTGTTTTGAGCATAATTAATCAGATATTTTTTGATAAACTTTGTTCGATGTACAACAAAACACAAGACTAGATGTTTTTAAAAAAATAATTTATTTTTTCACATACTATTCTCATTAAAGAAAGGCCATCTATAAATTCAATATTTGTCAATTTTTAAATAAATGCGTTATCATTACTTTAATAGAAAAAATCATACATTTATTAATATCTGAATATCAGGGCATAAACTGCACTATGTTGTCACTGAGCCAGTTTATAAAAGTTAAATTCATGCACTGAGTTTATTGTACACATCAGTTATTTATAATGGATAAAATTTGGTTTATTTGCATTGCTGATCAAAATATAGTTTATTAAGCAGTATACAATGGTTTTAAATTTAAAAAATACAGCCAAACTAAAAAATTAATAAAAATGACAGTGCAGTTTACTTCTGAGATCCAAAAATACTGCTTAATGTATTTAAATATAATTTAGAATAACATCTGTTGCTAGGATTATAAATATTAGTTTATGAAACTAGAGTACAATAATTCATTCATTCTCAAAATATATATATTTTAATCTAATCTAACATTGCTAAAAATGTATTATATACAAATATGCACACTATACAAGTTGATAAATCCGTTTATACAATATAAATGAGCTTTTGCATGGCTAATACACTTCATTTAATTTTAACAGTTTATAGTTGAGTACCCAGAAACAGTGACATAACCAGTTTGAAATGTAGTATAATCATCTTCATGATTTAAATTCAGAGTCAATAGTTTCTCTGCCGCAAGTGGATGCCATACACCAAACGTGCAGGAAGTGTCTACACCACTGTCAAAATAGTGACAGTGTGGAGTTAATCTAACTGATGGAATATATTCGAACAGTCTAACCTTGTCACAGTGAGGCAACAGCAGCGCTAAACCTGTAAACATTGAGAAGAAAAGTATTCAGAAAATTTTAATATAATTGTTATCTGTGAATACTATTCAATTCACACACATTTCTTTATTGAGTAGTATTACATTTAGTCGTGATTAAGGACGGTAGTAATAGTGTTAGAGAAGCTCATTCACACTCTATGTACAATAAATAAAATTAATTAAACAGCTAAATAATAATACTAAAAGTAAATGTATATAAACAAAAAAGAACAAATTAATCAATAAAATATACTTTTATTTAATATTTACAAAATTCATTCACTCAGAGCTTCGAGCCTAGCCTTTCTCCCCACTTGTGGAAGGATGGTCTCTAGGAGATCTTAATGCATCTCGCTCAGCCACATGACAATTTGGGCACATGCTACTCTTGAGTGCCAAGTTCCGAGTATTTTACTCAAATTTAATCACTAATGGGAATTCACTTAATACTTCAGTCAATCTATTTTTTTATTTCCCTCTCTGTTCCTTGTCTTCTAGACAATATGAGGTTCCGTTTATTTTTTTTCATACAGCTATAAGTTTAGCTTTTCTTGTTATATTCCTCTTTTCTTACTATATTTCTATCTTCGAGTCAACTATGATTGAGAGAGTGGAAGTCTCCGTCTCACTCCTTTATTGAAATGATCTGCGCCTATTTGTTCCTTCCACCCATACACGAATGCCTCGTAGTATGGATAGATATCTGGAGTGACAAGAAGGAGTAAATCTCCTTCGTTGATACTGTAGATATTTGTGCTCTTTATTAACTTGGCCCTTAGTGCCTCAAAGGTAGTGCATTTAGTGGTCACATGTTCGGCAATTTCCGGGATACTTCAGTTAATCATTTTATATCAAAGTAGTAATTAAATTCTTTGCTGCTCAAAAAAGGCCAATATTTGAGTAAAATACTTGGTACTCAGTAATCAGAGTAGCATTTGCCCATCTGCTCTCAGCCACATTACTGTTATTAAGGACCAGTGTAAGATGAGCAGAGGCTAATACTATTTAATAGATTCAAAAGTTTGATTGAGTAATGTGGTGGTTAAGTCACTGAGTAAACTTTTATATCTAAGAAAATTTGATACTTTGATTGATCCTCAAGTGTTCCAGATCTAAACTTCATTAACTCGGAAATAAGGGTACTTGTGAGTTGTTTAAGTAAATGAAAAAATGTCCGGCTTTATAAAATTTTGATTAAAGAATAACAAAATAACCACTTGGAATTTGTACAAAACCTTATTTGGTCTATGCCATATTGAATGAAGGCATTAATAAATTTTATATTGAACAGTCGACCAAATAAACTAGAATATATAAACCTTCCTTTCTTTATTTTCCTCAAATATCTCTCTTATAAACATAATAATAAAAAATGATTTATGATATATTTTAATTGTTACCTAGAAAACCAGAAGATGGTGGATTCCTTCTGATCCTGACTGGAGTGTGGGATTGTATAAAATCCCAAAGAGTCCACAGAGATTTGGGGTTGACAAGGTGTATATTGGTGTCTGGTCTTAGTTCCCTATGTTTTACATAAGGTGTAAATACATCAAAGTCAGGTTTGTCTCGCCACTGCAATTACAATCTTAATTACATTCAGCATAATAGAAAATGTTTATTATATTCTTTAGACTGATCTTCTAAAGGATTATTTATATATATATATATATATATTTTTTTTTTTTTTTTTTCGGTTGGTACTACAGACCATGAAGATCTTTGGCCGCGAGATGTGGTCTCCTTACAGACGTTTGTTGCTTGCGGGAGCTCAAATAACCTGCAGAGGGTCACCCAACCTCACGTTGCTACGAACCATGGTCTCTATGGTGCAGTGGCAAGCCAATCCCTTTTGGGGCCAATCCGGCAGTATCCTTTACACAGACTCGATCGTGTTCAAGGACAGTGACAAATTGGTCTAGATCCATAGATGATGGCTGCTCAGAGTCAGCAGGTGCATGAGGGCCTATATTTTATTCCCCAAAACTGACGAACAGTGCCCATGGAACGAACCTCAGGGGCTACTACATTCTGATAAACCACATCCCAATTCCCGATGTAAGTACACGGGGTAGAGTCATCAGTCCTAGGCCCGGTCGCTTTGATATAGGCCTCCAGTAGCCTGACGGGCCACACATAGCCGGGGGGAAGGAGAGACTCGGGCAGTATGGCTTTCCCTGGAGGACGGTTATACAAATTGGGCAGTCGCCCATCCAAGTACTAACCACGCTTGAGGCTGCCTAACTTTGATTACATATTGCAAGCGCCTTAGCCCATGCGGCTACCCCTATATACATATTGTCTTAATTTAATAACTATTATAATATTTTAGTATGATGATATATTTAAAATAATGCTTCACTAAGTTAATAATGTATTAACAATACATCAATTGTAATGTATTATTTATGAAGGAAAAAATATATTGTTCATTATTTTCTTGAACATTTGGCTTTAAGAAATCCTTATTGGATAATTATTGTATATAACCTATTGTACTAATTGGAAATATATAATTTTGATATAACTTGGGTCTTCACCTAAATGTACTCCTATATAGAGAGGTTGAAACTTTTTAAAAGTTCCATTTTTACAGTTTCTGTGAAACTTTTTAGGAAAGAAGTTCCTAAAATAAGAGTTCTAACGAACTTTTTTGTAATAAAGTTCCAGATTTATGGTAAAAGTTTAACTTTTATATATTCAAGTTCTTAAAAAATGTTATGTTGAATGAAAAATAAACAATAATTGGGTTTAGATTAGAAATATAATTTGTCTCAAATTAATTACACATCTAATGTTACATTTGCTCCAGTAGCTTTAAATAAAAGTCATATTTTAGATAGACTTTTTATTGAAATTGACAGAGTTTTTAATTATTTTTTTTTAAATAAAAGTTTTGTAAAGCCGTTACATAATAAGTTGTAAATGAAAAAGTTTTAAGCTCCAAAAGAACTGAAAAACTATTAACAGTTAAAATTTTGTTCATACCGAAACTTTTTAAAAATGAAAGATTTTTTCCATTTCAAGCTCTGTTTATAATGATTAATTTATAACATTCTTTCTATATCCTATTTAGGTAAAATAAATAATTTTGTTTCATTACAGTATTTTCATCTTTTATTAAATATTAAACAGATTAGGATTTAGTTACCTGTTCTAAAGTTGATGTATAATTACATGGATCCCAAACTAAAATTTTTATTCCAGAATACATATCAGACTTCAAAAATTGGAATTGGGCCCTTGAAACTACTTGTGAATTTAAAATTCTTATTGTGGTTTTTTTCCCAACATCATCTTCAAACCCTTTTGTTGGTGCATGATTAAATCTTAAGACCAGCTCGTGGCTATCTGAAAATTTTTGAAAAAAAATTATTAATAATGACTGTAAAATAACTTTTTTTTTTTTATTATCCCTTATCTTTCCATTTAAGGCATACAGGAGGAGAAGGAGGGATTGTACTAGATGTACAACCAAACCTATTCTAACCAGAGTGAAAAGACCGAGATTCATTCTGTCGGTTTCCCATGCATTAAATTTCAAACCCATGTCACTAGACTTGAGAATTATGCTTTAACATATTTGGCTTTAACAACTTTTTTTTTGTTTGCACATGTGTTAGCCCGCTCTGCCACCCCATTTCCAATTATGAAGCAACTTAATATTTTATAAATTACAACTCTAACATTCACATTTAAGAATCATGATACAAATATATATGTTTTCCTTCCTCCTCAGCTTTTGGAGAAGAGAATATTTGTAGCGATGAGATGTAGAACGAAGACTATGTAGCTTAATTAAACCTTTCACCCCCAATTTCCATGGGGAATTATCAAACCAAAGAGTCTGGTAGAACCCATATGGCTGATATCGGGCTACGAGGAACTATTTTCTCATGGTACTCCCATTTGGTGTCAAAATCCACTGTCAGCTCCATTCCTCAATTGTATCACAGAGAAAACATACACATCTATAATTAGGGAGTTCATCTTTGTCCCTTTCTTTGAATAGGAGGGGGTTGAGAATTATCCTGATCAGATCATGTTCTTACTCTTACGTTGACTAAAAAACAGTGCCTCATTATAAATTATTCAGCTCAAATTTCTCCATGTACTATAAAATATTCAGGTTTTTTTTTTAGTAATTTTTGCATCAAATGCTTGATCACTACTTCAAAAAAGATCAAACAAATGCAGGTAATAATTTTACTAATCTATTTATGATTGCGATTGCAAAAAAAATCAATTCCATATCAATCAATAGTCCAATTAAGTTATACTTTACAATTTACACTGTTTAAATACAGCAAACTATTATTTTATATGAAATTTAAAAAGAGAATTTCTGATAGTTTTTCAGAATAAATATTTTAATGTTTTATTCTAAAAAAAAAATTATTTGATGTTATTTACCTATGATTCTGCCCAATCCAGAGCTGTTAAGTGCTCCAGCATTTGAAACGATTGCACAAGATGAAAATCGTTCTTGAGGATCAAGAAGAGGCCTGCTTGGGACAGCAGCTTCCAATGGGCTATCAACAAATGCTGGCTCTTTGCCAGTAATGGTCGGAACAGAAGGCAATATTTCTCGAAGCCTGCATAACAACTGATCACGAGGGATGTTGGAGGAACGTTGTAGGCCATGGTACTGTACATTGTAAGGGTTATCTTGCTTTGACTTGAACACATTTGATTCATCGTGTAGGACACTTCGAAGTCGAATTATTAAACGGTTCTTAAATGCTGATAACCTGAAATAAATTCAAATTTTAGTTATTGGTGATGATAAATTATCTAATTAAATTTGTATGAATATAAATATTTATTATACCATGATATAACTACTTATCTATAATATTTACACTTTCATCATTACATATTTCAAGGAGCTGTGAATAAAATCATAATAAATACAAATTTATCTAAACTTTAATTAATTTAACCTTTGGTTGGGTATAATATAGAATTTTACATGTTTTTGTAGAACTCACCTGTGAGATTAAAAATTATATTTCTGTACAGAACTGAGGAAAATATTAACAAACTGAACTTTAAAAGTTCAAAATGATTATATATGATTTTTCAAAAACTTTTTAAACAATCACATAAATAATCATAAAAACCTAGTAAAATAATTTTTTTTTTTAAATTAAAATCAATGATATTAAAATATGTTTAAAAACTAAGTAAGCAAGCCGTTATAGACACACAGTTTTCAATAAATCCTGCACTTAAGTATTTATTAAAATGTGTTACTTCCTTTCACAATTTAGTTAGGCCCGATCGAGGGTTAATATAGGACCTATATTTTAATGAAAATGAATTATAATTTAAATAAAATTTAATGATTTTCAGATCATTCACTTTATCAGTGGATACTTAGGCTCAATTTAACATGCCTACATTTTTTTCTCATAACAAAAAAAAATAGATAAAAAGCAGTTTTTATTTTGAATATTATTAATTAAAATATATTTTATTGTTGAAGGGTTTTTATTAACTTATACATATATATATTTACTTTTTTTTTTTTTTTTTGTTACATTCCTAAGTTTACATCAGACCTGGACAAAATGCATTTTAAACATTACTTTAAAATTATATTTTAATTACAAAGTATTTAAATTTGTTCACAAACTGTATTTCAACTCATTGAAATAAAAGCATTTTGTATCTGAATGACAAAAAAATAAAGTGCATTCTTGTGGAAATTAGCATATAATATAGGGAACCTGCTCAATTTGGTATTTTATTTTGTGTATTTAAAGTAGAAAATAAAATACAATTTTTTGTATTTTAGTATCCTGTAAACAGAATACACTTTGTTGCCTAAATCATAAATCACATAAGAAATTGTAGAATAAATGTTGTTGAATAGGTGATTATATCACATCCTAAATACCATATCTAGTTTTCCTATACAAGTCTCTAAGCTCAGATTTGTTTTTTTATGACCAGTTGAATTGTTCAGTAGCACATTTTCTTTGGTGATTACTCTCCTACATGCTCAACAACCTCTCTCACTGATTGAAGGGATCCATAAATTATCATTTAACAAAAGATTATTCAAGACACCCTCATTTCAAGATTAAACCTGAGCATGGAACAACCACCTCACAGACAGGTGTAAGTTTCGTCTTTTGTATGTTGGAGAAGAGAACTTCATCAAGAAGGTTCAAATAATAATTATTTAATCTTAAATTAGTAATTCACAGAAGCAATTATTGATTACAGCTAAAAATTGAAGAATAAATAAAGTTTCAGTCTGAGTTGGTGTTCCCAGTAAATGTTCCTTTATTTATAAATGTATCCTTTATATAGAGAGAGTTTTCAAGTACATATATATTGTAATCTAAATATTACATAGGAAATTTAATGGGTCAATAGAATTTTAAATAGCGGCGAAAGCAGTGACGTCACAAAATGCTGTCAAAAATGTACAAAGAGGCAGAGAAAGAGATGGAAGGAGAAGCAAGAGCCATATGTTAAGGGCAGAAGGTAACCAGCCGGCAATATAAAAGGATCGAGCAGAGGAACAGGTTGGCAAGTAATGAGTTTCTAGATGCGTACAGGAAAAGAGAAGACATTTGTAGAAATTGAATATAGCAAGACCTTCAACAACAATATAGAGGAAGATCCACTGTAGAACAGAGTGAGTGCAAAATAAATAGTGACAGTTAGAAAGTGTGCCAAGAGTAGATCCCGACAAAACTGAATGGAAATCCATAAATATTGTACATAAATTTAATGTATGCATTTATATTATATAAGTAAGCAATGTATGTTTATTGTCTCAACCCAAACTGAGAAATTATTTGTAATAATTTAAAATAATTGTGTAAAATAAATATAATTTTGTTCAGAAACTGTTTGTTTACTTTTCAGTGGAAACGTTACCTAACAATATATATATTTATATATTTGATAGTAAAAATCATATTACCTCTTGGCTGTTGCCTCGTCACAGTTGTGGCAATTGGATGATAGTCTGTGGCCTCCATGTCCTCTGAACCTTGGTCTGGATCTTCTCCTGTAGTCCTTGGTTGTCTGGACCCGCATCACTTCTCTCTGCATGTGCAAGATCTCCATCAGTGTCTGTTCTTGCTCCGAACTCTATAAACGTAGAAAAATTCTTTTTAAGTAATTAATGAAACGTAAATTATTTTGTCACTCACAAAAGTAAATAAAGAACGGTAATTTTACAAGTACCATTTAAAATGGGGGGGAATATTATTGAGAGGCCTGTTCCAACAGGCTTCACTTCTTTGAATTATCGGCCAGATAAAGAAACTATCTATGAGTCATTAAAACCGATAAGGATAGCTAAACTAAAAAGACCTAAAAACTAAAAAATTGTGTTCATTACTGATACAGTATCAGTATTACAATCACTCAGGTCCAAGTGGAGCAAAAGCCTGAGAAAACTTGCAAAAGATCTTGAAGACTTGATGTCCTTTCACAAGAAAGTTGTCCTGTAATGGATCCCTGGGCACTGCAGCCTCTCTGGAAACAAATGGCCAGACCTGGCAAAGGAAGGTGCCTTGAGTCCACAATTTGACTAAGATCAGCCTAAAGCTATTATTAACCAAATTCGGTTCAGAAGTCATCCACTTCACGACCCTAGAGATGCTATCTATGATCTGACTCGACGAAAGCTTTGATCTTTCGCTTACGAACGGGGCACAACAGGCTCAAAGCACACCTATTCAGTAAGTCCAAAATTGGCTCTGGTCCCCTCCGCGAGTCGGCTGATGGTGAATAAAATGTGGAACACATACTACAAATGTGCAGAGTCTACTCCCAGCAAACAAGAGTGATTTGGTCGTCTCCAAATGAAGTAGAGAGAAAATTATATGGAAGCATGGAGAACCTGAAGAAGGCTACTGAATTCTTCATTTTAGTTTCTGACCTAGCTGTATAAGGAAGAAAGCAGAAGAATAAGTATAGCAGTAATTTATAAATTTTGTTTTAAAAAATCATCACTCAGAAGCATTTTAGTCATAGCTCCTTCAAGCGATTGAATAGAAATTTTAAAGTTTCTTTAATATATGTGTATGTCTGTAGATCTGTTATCACTGTAACCATAATTGATGGCGAATCTTTTGATGAATATTTTCATTATATTTTAAAATATTTTTTTTTACAAATTCATCCAAACATTAAAAGTTAGTGAATGATAATTGAATTTTATTCAACTTTTTAAGAGTAACATGATAATAAATAAATGCTGATTGATCTTTCAACTTATAACTACAACCGAAGTAAAAATTTGTCTTGTAATGTAAAGTAAAAAATAGGTATATCCTATTATAAAGAATGTTCTTTTATTTCAAAATATCTTCTTACACTATTTTAGTTATATATTTTTCTTATTAAATAACGATTTAATAATAATAATAATAGTTTCTTATTTAGAAATATTTTTGATGATGGTATAACCAATTGTAATTTGAGAAACAAAACAAAACATGAGTAAATCATGCACAATTAACTTCTTTTATTCTTCTCTATTATGTTATGTAAGCTCTGTTACTAAAATAATCTATCTTCTACTCCCAATAGCTGCACTTAGCCTGTTTAACAAGCCTTTTGCACTATGCTTTATCTTCTGCCATGTTGATACTTATTCCCAGCTTTTAGAGGTCACTGCTAATATATCCAGCCATCTAGTTTTGAGTCTACTATTCAAACTACCCCATCTTAATCATACATATATAGTCTTTTTGCCACTGCTGGATCATCCATTCTGTGAACATGCTGCATAATATAATGACATGAGTTGGCTTATAGAGAAACTGGTAAATTGATAGCATTATAATATAATTTATATACTAGGACAACAGGAGGCCATCTTCTTTTCAGACACCTGAAAGGATTGAATGTCAGAAAATTTAGCTGTCCCCCACAGTTCTAGTCCGTAAGTCCAGATGGGTTTCAGTATTGTCTTGTACATCAGTAATTTATTTTCACTAGAAAGTTTAGATTTTCTATTCAGTAGTATATTTAGCTCGCCATATCGTCTGTTAAACTCCTGTCTTTTAAGTCTAGTATGTGGATTCCATGTTAGTACTCTGTCTAAGAGAAATCCAAGATACCGGACTGTTAAGTGGATTTCTAAGTATCATATTTGTTCAATATGGATAAGAGGTGTATTATTAGAGGATACTGTAGGACAGGAAGGCGTAGGTTTGCGACAATTTTAAGTCTTAAAATTGAATTTTCTCTCATCTGCATTTACTATTGAAGCACAAAGAATGTTGTTAATTAAATATGACAAAATGGCAAGGTAAATCCAAGTTAGCGTAAACACTTAAAGTTGATTAAAAGCCCAGCAGAAGAGCTTGATTTAAGGGCGAGGTTTAGATTTGGGAGGAAGTGTCAAGCTCCGAATCCCATTGGCTGTTGGCAGAGGCGCCCAACTCTCAGTAATTTAATTACAGGCCCTCTGCTCTGCAGGTTAATTTCGGGACGCCTAACTAAATCACCGCCCATGGCGGCATCGCCTCATGTTCTAAATTCTGGTTTATTTTAAATTCATTCTGTTAAACGAACCAATATCGTTGACCATATATCATTTATAGAATAAATCATAGTATAATAAATTGATTTCTGCATTGTCAACAACAGTGTGGACGCAAAGCATACAAGAATATTGATTTTTCCTTAATAATTTCAAACTATAGCTTTACTTAAGTTCTATCCAGCGAAGATGTGGAAAAAGTTTCATAACGTTTATGAGAAGCAGTAAAAAATTTATTATTTAATTAAACACGGATAATGGAATCTTTATTTATTTTTTCTGTTATTTCAGAACTAAAACATTTCCATTTTATCTTTTTTAAGTTAAGATTTTACATTTTTTTTTTTTAAACTTGTATTTAAAATTTCTGTTAACTTTGCCTAAAAGTCGATATAAAAAAATACTTTTATTCTTAGGTACTCAAACAACCGATAAATCAGAATCAAATAATTCTTTTCAGTCTAATCACTGTTTCTTTCTCATTTGAAGACACTTATTTTTCGGACTTTAATTAAATAAAGTTTAAACTTTTTTGATAAATCTAGATCTTTATTACAAAAACATATCTTGGAACTGTTATTTTGAAAACTTTATTCCGAAAAAAGTTTCACAAAAACTGTTAAAATATAAATTCAACCACGAATTTAAATATCTTGACTCAAAACTGTCTTTATGATAATAATTCAAGAAAAAATAAAAATTATGCCAATAAAGTCTCGAAATAATCAATATTTTTTGTTACAAAAATGTTCAACTTAAAGCTAGAACTGTCAAGAACCTAAAAGTATGAGTATACAAATATATCAGAAAATTCATAAAAGTAATTATTTCTGTATTTAATCATAGCACTAATAACTAATACTAATTTTAAGAGTCAAATTACAGATTATTTTATGCCATGAAAAATCTAGGAATTGTAACAAAAAATTGGTGTCAATATGTCAATTATATAGGTAATTTTGATATCCGTTCAAAAACAAAGTACATAGTAACTTTGTTTTTGGTATATGTCAGGAAGTTTGTGAAGATGGATTCGTTTTTGTTGTACTCTTTATTAAAACTTTTTAGAACATTCATATGGGATACGACAATCCATCATTCAGTTCCTAAGAAGGATTTTTCTCAACTCCCTCAGGGCGCTGTCGAACCATCTTAGGTCATGCCGTCCTACATTTCTTCTTCGGTGAACACTTTCCTCGCCAATTTACTGGAATTTCGATCTCATCCTTTTTGGCAACGTGCCAAGGACATCTGAGCCTTCGGGCCTTCATAAATCTTGTTATATCTATTCCAGAAGTGGGCATCAATTTTCCAAAATTTCTTCTCTTCCCCAGTATTATCGCGTTAGAGAAGAAATATAAAATGTTAATCAACATTTTCGTTAAAGTTGGGGTGAAAAACTATTTTAAACTTAGTAATTTGCCGATGCGCAGAATTCGCTTCGTAATGTATATTAGTCATTAAACTAATGGAAATACACTCGTAATATGGAAATACAAAAAGAAATGGATTTATTTAACAAATGGATTTTTCTCGGGCCAGAGGAGAGGGCGGGGGAATTATAAAAAGTTAAAAGTCCCATCGGGCACAGGGATTTGAACTCGTTAACATTTGTTTATCTTAAAACTTCGTTATCAGCTTGCCGCTCGGTCACACCGCCCCTACACTCTTTTCGATTTGCATGTCCTCCTTTAAATCTTTATGCTTAAGAATCATACGGTTCCTAATGTAGATATATGTATATATCTAATCTAATTACAATTCACAACAACAATATATAATAAACAATTACATAGTTCACTTTTTCTACACCCCTCCTAATTATCTAGTCAGATATAACTTAAATTTCAATTCTCCTCGGTAATGATACATTACATATACGTGATATATAAAACATAAACTTTTACAAAAGATTATTTGTTTTTTTAATTTATGATTTCAGGAATATAATTAACCTTTCTAACATTAATCGTTCAGTTAGTTGTTTCGGACTTTTTTGTCTATTTTCAAGTATATATCTATAATTATTCAAATATTGTCACACTATTATAATTCAGACAGGAACACTACAAATATTCATTGTAATTAGTACATGATGTTTTCTTTGTTTTGCCTTCTGTGTACTTATGTTTTGTTTTTTCTAGTGGTTTTTTTTTCATGTGTTTTATAAGGAAAATTTTTAATTTATTTTATTACGTCATGCTGTTGTTTATAAGTTTTATAAGAAAAATTCATTAAATTGTTGTATCCATTATGCTCAATGTATTGACCATGTTCAAATTAACAAATACATTACTTTACATGGTTACTGTATGAGGTAAGGATTTAAAAAAAAAAATAAAAAGTACTAATATATACGGAATAAAACAATTTTCTTATTCAATTTTGTAATAAAAATTCTTCAAACTATATAATTTATCTATATATTTTATCGGGAGACTGGAAAAATATGCCCTATTTAAAACTTTTCTTTTCCAGTCTCAAGAATCCCTAATAAATAACGTCCTTTCACCTTAAGCACAAATATACTATAATTTAAAAACTTGGTAACATCATTAAATATATAAATTTGAGAAATATCTAAAAAAAACTA